TGTGTGTATATATATATATATATATATATATATATATATATATATATATATATATATATATATATAGTAATATCCTTTTAGAAGATTTTATAAAAATCAATGCAGATGATTCTTAAAATCTTGCTAATTGAAATTAATGCGAGGAAAAATAATTTCAGAATAATGAACTTATTATAAAATACAATTACAAAATACAAAACGCAAAGTGTAAAATACTATTATTAACAATTTTGTACCATGCTTTTAGTAATTTTTATTATGCTCCTATTTTTTATGATAATTATATATTATATATGTATAATATGTATTATTATTATTATGTTATATAATATTATATTATTATTGTGTTATAACATNTAAACTTAAGTATAAAATTTATAATCATTATGATGGTTCAATACTCACTGGATGGTATTTTAACTTCTGCATCGGCTTCGACAACATGTTTCAAATTTTCCGTTATTCTTTCCGTTTGCGGGTTCAAACATTGACAACAAGCTGGCTGCACCTTTAACAATGTTATACGTTTATATATAAACAGGTCACCTGAATAATTCGCTTGTTTTTGAAAATAGGAGAAAATGCATTAGACCAAACTTACTTGGTATTGGGGGGCTCATATATATATATATATATATATATATATATATATATATATATATATATATATAATCTGGTATTACCAATTTTTCTGTAGGTGGAGGCGTCAAGGAGTTATGAAGGTCAATTCTGTTTTTTTTAATGGAACAGTAAGTTTTTTCACTTACATTCTGATAGAGCTGTCTCTTATACACATCTAGATGTGTATAAGAGACAGCTCTATCAGAATGTAAGTGAAAAAACTTACTGTTCCATTAAAAAAAACAGAATTGACCTTCATGACTCCTTGACGCCTCCACCTACAGAAAAATTGGTAATACCAGATTATGAGCCTCCCGATACCAAGTAAGAGTTTCGTCTAATGCCTGTCTCTTATACACATCTAGATGTGTATAAGAGACAGCTCTATCAGAATGTAAGTGAAAAAACTTACTGTTCCATTAAAAAAAACAGAATTGACCTTCATGACTCCTTGACGCCTCCACCTACAGAAAAATTGGTAATACCAGATTATGAGCCTCCCGATACCAAGTAAGAGTTTCGTCTAATGCCTGTCTCTTATACACATCTAGATGTGTATAAGAGACAGCTCTATCAGAATGTAAGTGAAAAAACTTACTGTTCCATTAAAAAAAACAGAATTGACCTTCATGACTCCTTGACGCCTCCACCTACAGAAAAATTGGTAATACCAGATTATGAGCCTCCCGATACCAAGTAAGAGTTTCGTCTAATGCCTGTCTCTTATACACATCTAGATGTGTATAAGAGACAGCTCTATCAGAATGTAAGTGAAAAAACTTACTGTTCCATTAAAAAAAACAGAATTGACCTTCATGACTCCTTGACGCCTCCACCTACAGAAAAATTGGTAATACCAGATTATGAGCCTCCCGATACCAAGTAAGAGTTTCGTCTAATGCCTGTCTCTTATACACATCTAGATGTGTATAAGAGACAGCTCTATCAGAATGTAAGTGAAAAAACTTACTGTTCCATTAAAAAAAACAGAATTGACCTTCATGACTCCTTGACGCCTCCACCTACAGAAAAATTGGTAATACCAGATTATGAGCCTCCCGATACCAAGTAAGAGTTTCGTCTAATGCCTGTCTCTTATACACATCTAGATGTGTATAAGAGACAGCTCTATCAGAATGTAAGTGAAAAAACTTACTGTTCCATTAAAAAAAACAGAATTGACCTTCATGACTCCTTGACGCCTCCACCTACAGAAAAATTGGTAATACCAGATTATGAGCCTCCCGATACCAAGTAAGAGTTTCGTCTAATGCCTGTCTCTTATACACATCTAGATGTGTATAAGAGACAGCTCTATCAGAATGTAAGTGAAAAAACTTACTGTTCCATTAAAAAAAACAGAATTGACCTTCATGACTCCTTGACGCCTCCACCTACAGAAAAATTGGTAATACCAGATTATGAGCCTCCCGATACCAAGTAAGAGTTTCGTCTAATGCCTGTCTCTTATACACATCTAGATGTGTATAAGAGACAGCTCTATCAGAATGTAAGTGAAAAAACTTACTGTTCCATTAAAAAAAACAGAATTGACCTTCATGACTCCTTGACGCCTCCACCTACAGAAAAATTGGTAATACCAGATTATGAGCCTCCCGATACCAAGTAAGAGTTTCGTCTAATGCCTGTCTCTTATACACATCTAGATGTGTATAAGAGACAGCTCTATCAGAATGTAAGTGAAAAAACTTACTGTTCCATTAAAAAAAACAGAATTGACCTTCATGACTCCTTGACGCCTCCACCTACAGAAAAATTGGTAATACCAGATTATGAGCCTCCCGATACCAAGTAAGAGTTTCGTCTAATGCCTGTCTCTTATACACATCTAGATGTGTATAAGAGACAGCTCTATCAGAATGTAAGTGAAAAAACTTACTGTTCCATTAAAAAAAACAGAATTGACCTTCATGACTCCTTGACGCCTCCACCTACAGAAAAATTGGTAATACCAGATTATGAGCCTCCCGATACCAAGTAAGAGTTTCGTCTAATGCATTTTCTCCTTTCCTCAAAAACAAGCGAGTTATTCAGGTGACCTGTTTAAAATGTCCCACCTTGTGTATTACATAATTAATATTTTATTAAGAATTTGTTGATGTACCAATTTTGTTCTCTTCAGGAATATTACCGGCAACAATGGCGATGATGATACCAATGATACTTGGCCGTCGAAAGAGGGACGTATCTTCTGCGAACCCAAGACTGCTCGATCATCGTGACACAATGATGCATATTCGTGTCCCCGCGAATAAACGAATCCGAGGAACGAGGCTAAGATAGGGCAAACAAATCTCTGATAATGGAGAAGAACGAACAGTCCCGGTGTTCGGCGATGATCATGGAGCTTGTAATATATCGCGATCGATTAATTTACGAGAGAAACGAGGTGTAAGATACGCGTTTAAAATTCCGTGGCAATTTCGTCAGCGCGATCAACGACACAGAACACAGAATTTCCTTATAACACGGAAAAGAACGGCAACGTTCCGATGGAGAAATAAGCCTCGAATCACCGAGAAACTCTGTATCACGGGTCCCATTTTAATCTCATCGCTGAACTCATCATCACCGGAAAGTGTAATCGCCTCGAAATACTCGAAACTCCTTTCGCACGGAGCAAAACATTTCGAATTTTCTTCGCCATTCGCTGATCTTCTCTTTAATGTTGCATCGCTCGTTAACCGCTTTAAATGAATAGAAAGGATATGTTGTTCCTTGATCGAATTTATCGGTGATCGTACCACCGATTCCGCAGTGTTCGATGATCAAACGTTTCATACGAAATTTCATATTGCGAATTTCATATTGTTTCACGACGAAGCAAGCAATCGGAATATGCTCGTGTTACACGAACGCGAACGCGTTATCTGCGTGATTTTTTGTTTTAAGCAAAACTAGAGGATGCACGTGCGTAGATCCAGCGTTCTTCGTTTCGCATATGCTAACCCTTGTTACTCGTTACGAAGCGTTAAATTAACACCGCTAATTATAATATTGATTCTCAGTGAATTCTCGAAAGAAGGATAATACGTCAGTGTGTATCGTGGACGGAATCGAACGGAGAGAGAGATGCTGTGTGTATTTTCATAACATACCTTACGTACGCGCCAGGATATCATACGGAAGCACGTATTATATTTATTTATTTATTTATTTAATATATTTATTTATAATATACTTTACAGTGTTTCGTATATTTCGTCGTTCGCTTAAAAATACTTAATAAAACGTATAAGTACCAGAAACAAGAGACGTCGAAAACAGAAACTCGCGCGTTCCTAATCAAAAAATAGAACTTTTCGCCGGAAGTTTTTCGAAAACCCTTCGTCCGTTCGTGCGTTCTTTCGAAATGCTTGCGTAAAATGCGGACCCGAACGCGCGGCGGCTCGCCGTGCCGCGTCGGATCGCATCCCATGCGAGAAATCCTATTCCCTAATTATCAAATTTTAAAGCTAGTCGTTCTCTCGTCGAGGAACGTCTATCTTCCTTCAACTGATTCCCCGTTGGCCGGAAGAAAGAAAAGCACTCGTTCGATGAATCGTTCGCGAAGGAAAAATTTCGGGATCCTTGAAAGGAAATACAGAGCACGATTCTTTACGCGTGAAAACAGCGAAAACCGATTTCCTTCACGACTATACAGGATGTCCCAGGTTTTAATGTTCAAACTTTGTTAGTGTATTCTATAGCGCAAAGTAAGAAAAAAATGTTACGTAAACATAGGTCACATAGAGTTTTATTAAGAAGTTATAACAAAAATTCAGAATAGGAATAGTAACCGACTAAAAAAAAAATAAAAAATAAAAAAAAATCTTCGATCGATGTCAATCATGTATTGTCAACAACGGTTATTAATACATTTCGAAATGTATTGATAAACACAGCTTACATAAACACACGGCATGTGCTGATCTATTCAAGCCAATGCTCGCAGTAACAGCAAGTTGATTACTATTCCTATTCTGAATTTTTGTTATAACTTCTTAATAAAGCTCTGTATGACCTATGTTTACATAACATTATTTTCTTACTTTGTGCCATAGAATACACTAACAAAGTTTGAACATTAAAACCTGGGACACTCTGTAGAATGTAGGAGAGACGTCGTTTCGTACAGAATGGCTCATCTAACGCGACAGAGAGAAAGAGAGAAGTCTTTTTATTGCTATTCACGGTACAAGAAAATATCCGAGAAAAAAAGCGTGCTTGATTCTGAAACAGGAAAATGTTCTGATTAAACATTCTTTAGAACATGGTGTCATTTTCACACGCACGACATAAGGCATAACGTTGCATAATTGGCATGCAGGCACAACGATCCAGTCCCAAAAACGGATCGATTTATCGTGGATTAATTTCCAACGCTTCGTTTCCAAAGCTTCGATCGTCTGTACAGTTTTTTTTAAAGGAAAGAAGAACCTGCAAAAGGGCAATTTATGGACAACAATGGACATATTTACCTACCATTCTCTCTTCCGACGTCTCCTCCGCGGCGCTTTGTTAAAAAGAGCGAAAGACGCGATTGTCCTTCGATCAGAAAGATCCTCGGCTGATCGATTGTCGCGCCGACTTCTAGATCGGCTAACAATGGAATAAATAATATTTTTAGTTAGAATATTCCCTTCTCGCTGGAAGGGAAACGGGCAGTAGTTCCTCTAGCATTAACCTTTTAGGTACGGCTGAATTCTGCGCGAGGCTATTTCTCTGGACGGCAGAGTCTGATATGTACTGTACAGAGTCTGATTCTGGTATATTCTGTCTGTATATACAGGGTATCCCAAAAATGTCTCGCAATCCGAAAGTGACGGGTTCCTCGGGCCATTTGAGGCAACTTTTTCCTTTACAAAAATTTTCTCCGAGGCACCGTTAACGAGCTATTAACGAAAAACAGTGACCAATGAGAGGCGAGCTCGGCTGGCGCGAGGCGATCGAGCCAATGAGCGGAACTGGGCTCCGCGCGCTGGTTGGCTGGGCCGGCTCGCGTCAGCCGTACTCGATTCTTATTGGTCGCTGTTTTTCGTTAATAACTCGTTAACGGTGCCTCGGAGAACATTTTGGTAAAGGAAGAAGTTGCTTCAATTGATCCGAGGAACCCACCATTTCCGGATTGCGAGACATTTTTGGGACACCCTGTAGACTGTTGTAAATCGATGCGAAGACAAAAGAAGAGTGAAACAATGCATATGAAGACGATTATTTGATTCAAACGATGACCGATTGAGCTACTAGAGTAAGCCACTACAGTGGCGCGTCGTTCAGAGAGAATGACATCCGCGGAAGCCACTATAGTGGCGCGTCATGCCTAAAAGGTTAAGAAATCGACTCTGTCACAGATCACCTGCCACCCAATCGCGCGTCCCCGACACGCGTTTCTCGAGCGATAAAATGCTAGACAAATCGTGGCTGGGGGATGTTAACACCCTAAATCGATTCGGGACGTGCTCGTTGCGCGTGATCGAGGCGGCCCTGTCTCGCCGAAACCCCTGAATCGTTTCCACCAATCGGAACCACTCTCGAGTTCAATTGTCCGTGCTCCCCGAAGGTCCTTCACTCCTCGCCATTGATCCTCTTCTGCACGTGGCCGAGGTATCTGGCGAAGCCCTCGCTGGCGTGTTTCAGCAGCGTCAACCCAAGCCGGAACTTGATCTCAGCAACCTTCTTCACGAAGCCGAAGAGGCTGAAACCGTCCTGCTCCTCCGGCGTCTTCGTGGTCATGTCGATCCATTCGACGTTGTTCTGCTCCGTGCTCTTCGAGGCCTCCGTCGAGATGCTGCCGGGATCGGCGTTCGAGGAAGGCGACGAAGAGATCGACGAGTCGGTGGCCTCCTGCAACGTCGAAGAACCGGTCGAACGGCTGGAAACGTCGACGCTAGACTCCGTGGACGCCTGAGCCGTCGATTTGATCCTCTCCTCATCCTTCTGCCGTCTCTTCTTCGCCTCGAGCTCCTCCGATATCTCGGTCTCCTTCCGTCTGGTCTTCCCGTCCTCTTCCCCGGGCAACGCCGAGTCGATGATGTTCAGGATCTCGTTGCTCAGGTCTTCCTCCTTCTCTTCCTCTTCCAGCTCCCTCTTCGAGGGGATCACCTGGATCACCGAGTCCCTTCTCGCTCTCGATCGACGATGTCCGATCGGAGAGGCGTCGGCAGAACCGTCCACGGACCTCTTCGACTTCAGAGATCTCGGCCCGTGCTCCACGGCCACCGCGGTCGGCGTGATCTCCACCTCTTCGTAAGCCTCTTCGGGCCTGCTTGTCTGCACCTGTCCGTAGCTCTGAACCGGACTATTGAAATTGAAGTTCTGATCGATGTCATGATCGAACTTCAGCGGCCCGCTCTCCGTGGGCTCGTAGCTGGCCAGCTTGCCCGTGGTCGGCTGGGCCGGGGCCTTCTCCTCGTACGACGGATACTCCTTCGGCACGTTCCCGACGACGAACTGCCGATTGGCTGGCTCCGACGGCGCCTGTCCAGCCGCGTACTCCGTGTGCTTCGGCCGTTCGTAATAGTTCGGAGTGCTGGGCGCGTCCGGGTACCTGTAATCCGTGTTCCTGAACTTCAGAGCGGAGCCAGTGTTCTCCGGCCTGTAGACAGGCGACGAGGTGTACCTCTGCTCGTACTTCTTCGTCGTCTGGGAGTCGTAGCCACCGTCGTAGTGCTGGTACTGATAGTAGTTGTCGTAGTCCTTCGCGCCAGGGTACTTGTTGTCGTCGTTGGTCGTCATGCCTTGGAAGACCTTCGAGAGCACCTCCTCCTCGCTCTGCCCGTAGTTCCCGCCGTACTCGTCCAGGTTGTACTTGTACTTCGGCTCGACCTCGTAGTTCCTCCGTGCGATGGTCCCGCCGAACGGGTAGAGGAAGTAGGACGCCAGGCCCAGCCCGAGGCCCACCAGAGACATCATCCCGAAGCTGGGCATCACCTCCCGGCTGAGGAAGTTGTAGATCTGCGTGGAGATGGGCTTCTGTACCTGCTTCTTCTTGGTCTTGGTGCTGTTCACGGAGACCTTGGTCTCCGGCGCGATCTTCGACTCCTGGATCCCGTTCTCGCCGGCCGGATCCAGCGTCATCAGCTCGAGCTCCGTCGAGCTGGACGTCAGCGGGCTGATCGTGGTGGTGGACGCGGACGGTTTCCTCCTTCGGCTCTTGTTCTTCTTCCGCTTCGAGCTGTGCCTAGGCCTCTTCGTGGTCGACGACACCGTCGCGGCGGTCGACGTTGACGTCTCCGTGTCCGTGTTTATCTTCGTTAACTCGGGATTGAAGTCGAACTTCAGGTCTATCTGGGAATCGTTCAACGCGTCCTTTTCCGTATCCACCTCCGGCCTCTTGTCCTTCTCGACCTTCTCGATCTTCAAAACCGGCGCGTTCACTTTGATAGGCTCGATCTCGATCTTAGTGTCCTCCGCGGGCTTCTTCAGCTGCACCTTCAGCACGTTGCTCTTGGTGCCGATCGGTTTCAGCTTAGTCAAGATCTCCGCGGGCTTGCTGCTGGTGCTCGAGACGATCGATTTCATCGTCGTCGCCGGTTCTTGGCTGATCGTCGAGGAGACAGGCGCCGGCGTCGTGGCCTTCTGGGTGTCCATTAGAACGGACGCTTTGATCTTCGTCACGAACATCGGCTTCTCGGTGCTGTCCGGCTTGCTCTTGGCAACTGTGATCATCTGGACAGGCCTGAAAGTGACCTTCTCGATCTTAGCGGACGAGGCGGTGTCGTTTTTAAGGGTGTCCGGCTTCGGCGTGGTCCTCCTCGTTACTGGCTTAGGACGGACCGGTTGGTTCGGCCTGGAAGTCTTCAGGATCGATGGTTTCGAGAGCGCGGTCGGCTTGGACGTGGAGGACTTGGGCTTCGGCGTCGTTCTGACAGTTTGGATCTTCTTGGTGGCGCTGATAGTGGTTTCTTTGTTTTCGAAACTGAGAGTCGTCTGAGGAGGCTTCAGGGTTGCCTGAGCCTCCGAAGGCTTCTCCGCCTTCGGATCTGTCCTCTTCGTGGTGCTCAGGAGGACGATCTTCTTGGTGCTCGGCGGTTCCTCCGTGACGAGCATGGTCGAGACAGGCAACGTCACCTTCTCCGTCACCCTTTCCGTCGCGTCTATCCTCTCCGTCATTGTCGTTGGCCTCGTCGTTGTCGTCGTCGTCGTCTTGTCGCTCTCTGTGGTCTGTTTCGACTTCTTGTCTACATCGATTGTTTTGATCGTAGTCGACGGAGGATTCAGCAGGATCCACGTGGAGATGCCGCCGGTGGTCGTCGGATGATTCTTGTACGCTGTCATCAAACGCGTCGAGCTCAGCTCTTTCTCGAGTTCCTCTTCGGTGATCGCCATCGCGTGACCTGGGTGGCTGGCCTCGAAGAAGCTGAACTTCGAGTTCACCGGCCTTCCGAAGCCTATGTTCACTGTCATCTCTTTCGACGGAGCGACGTCTTTCTCCGGGGATTTCTGGACGTTCGGGCTCTTCTTTATGATCTTGCCGACGGTTTTCTCATCTTCGGGGTTGGTCACGTTCAGCAGCTGGGTAGCCACCGTTCTCAGGGACTGGTCCATGTACTGTAGATCCTTCAGGTGGCGTTGACCGTCATTCTGCGGCATACTGAAATGAAATTTTTCTCGATTAGTCGCTCGGTCGAATGGGTGGACTTGTAGTTTTAACCCTTTGTGCTCCTATGTCGATTGGTATTAATAGCTCATTTTTATGATTCGCATTATATTCGTGAATAAATTAGTATACTATTATTATTTATTATATTATTTAATATAATTATATAATTACTATATTATATTATATAATTATTGTATTATATTATATTATATTATATTATATTATATTATATAATATTGTATTATATTATATTATATTGTATTATATTGTATTATATTATACTATATTGTACTATATTATACTATATTATACTATATTATACTATATTATACTATATTATACTATATTATACTATATTATACTATATTATACTATATTATACTATATTATACTATATTATACTATATTATACTATATTATACTATATTATACTATATTATACTATATTATACTATATTATACTATATTATACTATATTATACTATATTATACTATATTATACTATATTATACTATATTATACTATATTATACTATATTATACTATATTATACTATATTATACTATATTATACTATATTATACTATATTATACTATATTATACTATATTATACTATATTATACTATATTATACTATATTATACTATATTATACTATATTATACTATATTATACTATATTATACTATATTATACTATATTATACTATATTATACTATATTATACTATATTATACTATATTATACTATATTATACTATATTATACTATATTATACTATATTATACTATATTATACTATATTATACTATATTATACTATATTATACTATATTATACTATATTATACTATATTATACTATATTATACTATATTATACTATATTATACTATATTATACTATATTATACTATATTATACTATATTATACTATATTATACTATATTATACTATATTATACTATATTATACTATATTATACTATATTATACTATATTATACTATATTATACTATATTATACTATATTATACTATATTATACTATATTATACTATATTATACTATATTATACTATATTATACTATATTATACTATATTATACTATATTATACTATATTATATTATATTATACTATATTATACTATATTATACTATATTGTACTATATTATACTATATTATACTATACTATACTATACTATACTATACTATACTATACTATACTATACTATATTATACTATATTATATTCTATTATACTATACTATACTATACTATACTATACTATACTATACTATACTATACTATACTATACTATACTATACTATACTATACTATACTATACTATACTATACTATACTATACTATACTATACTATACTATACTATACTATACTATACTATACTATACTATACTATACTATACTATACTATACTATACTATACTATACTATACTATACTATACTATACTATACTATACTATACTATACTATACTATACTATACNTTAGGATTGTAAATACTACTAATTGTAATATTTTTAGTTCTAATTAGGTCGCAACGTTACGTACGAGAGTATGCTCGATTATAGCAAATTCTGAAATAAAAGATGGAAAATACTTTGGAGCGCAAAGGTTTATAAGCTCTGCACTCTGCACGTCGTAGATGCTTGTTCACTAGAGACCAGAAGGTACTGGTTGTTCCTTACCTTTTCGTTTCTGTCAACGTGTCAGAAGGATTCTATTCTAACTTGTTTTATTTTGAATAGTAATTCAATTACTAAACCGCGGGTTTCCGTGCAACATACAAATTTACTGCGTTGAATGCAAAGTTCAAGAACTGCATAGATACTCATTTTTATTTTTAGTTGTTTGAATCAGTTGAAGGTAATGCAACAGTGTGTTTGAACTCTTTAAATATTTGTACTATATCGTAGAGTTGTTTTGCTTTTTGTTTGTTTTTTTTTCGTAAATGCATAAAATCCGCAGTCTAGTAATTACTGTCGAACTTAGACCATTATGCGAGTTACCAAACTCACTTACCAATCATGAACGAAGTAAAGTATATGTAGTGTTGAGATCAAGTATGTATGTAGTAAGTAGAAACGATATTATATAAACAATGTTCGAAGAATTATTTGATTTAAAATCCTTCGATCTGTTTCTCTTTTTTTCTTCTTTTCTCAATGTTTATTTTGAATAGAAATTAGGATTACTTTATGAAACGAAAGAAGAATTTCTATATTGAAATTAGTGAAGTACCTTCGCAAGTGCAATAGTTTTCCGATTTCACACCATTGTTCTCGTTCGCATCAAAAATTTAATTGTTTAATCAAGCTAATAATACGCTTGTCGAATTTAATTCTTATAGCAGAATCGTTACATGCAAACGCTTGCTAACGTGTGCTGAGGTTATGGTTGAAGGACATCTCTCGTATAATTGCATAATATCTGAATGATATTGGCCAAGCATCAACGTATTCATTACATAAATAGGAAAAATAGTAGATATGTTCATAATACAAATAGAAAATGTGGATGAATGAAATGAATAAATTATGAGTAAATAAATGTGTTGATGCTGTTATGGTCTCGTTCAGGCTGTTACACGGGCAACGACCTTAATTCTCCTATTCAACATATTTTTTTATCCTCGTTACAGCATATTTGTTATCCCCTAGCTTAAAGATTTTTATTAAACTCTGCCCTGCGCAATAATAATCAAGCGTCGTCTAATTTATAATCTGGAAACTGATAGTTGACGATATTAATTTAATGGCATAATATTTAGGAATCCAAAATTATTAAATGATAGTTGACGATATCGATTTAATGGCAAAATATTTAGAAATCCAAAATTATTAAATGATTGTTGATGATATTGATTTAATGGCAAAATATTTAGGAATCCAAAATTATTAAATGATAGTTGACGATATCGATTTAATGGCAAAATATTTAGAAATCCAAAATTATTAAATGATTGTTGATGATATTGATTTAATGGCAAAATATTTAGGAATCCAAAATTATTAAATGATAGTTGACGATATCGATTTAATGGCAAAATATTTAGAAATCCAAAATTATTAAATGATTGTTGATGATATTGATTTAATGGCAAAATATTTAGGAATCCAAAATTATTAAATGATAGTTGACGATATTGATTTAATAGTAAAATATTTAGAAATCCAAAATTATTGAAACTTTAAAACATAAAAATACAACGTTTATTACAAGCATCGAACAGTAAATATAATTTTCTAATAACATATTTTACGGATCATTATTATACAACTTCAACTTCATCAAGGTTTTAGATCTAGGATTTCAGATCAAACCATCATCTTCGATAACTATAACGATCGAATTCTACGAAATGAACTTTTGTACTAGATTTTTCTTCATGAGTACGTATTGAACGTGACACTATCACTGAACACGGGACATTCAGGAATACAGGAACGTCAACCCTTATCCGTCCTTCTGTCTAATTGATACAATTTCCTTGTATAACGTGATAAACTAATATCTTTTGTCATACGGTTTTATTTATTATAAAGGAAACGAACCATCTCACTCTAAAAATATCTTAACTATACTCAGGTTTCCATTCTTGAAGAAACAATTTACTTATTTATATAATATATATATTTATATATATTTTATATATTATATATAATTATATTATATAATATATATATTTATATATATTTTATATATTTTATATATTATATTAAATTATATTATATTATATTATATATTATATATTATATATATATTTACTTATAAGTTAATTATCTAGGTTTCGTGTTGACGTTCAACCATTCGCACAACAACGGATCAAGCCGCAGCAACAAGAAACGGATGAGAACGAACGTGTTCAACAAATCGCAGTGCTATAAGTAAATTATAACTTCACTGGTGATGCGAAGAAAAAAATGCAAATTTATTCGTTCGAATGTTTTATTTTCGTTACAATTCACTGGCGCAAACGCTGGCAATGCCCTAGAACGACGTTAATATTAAATTAAACAAGACTGTAATTACGTAAATAAGAGAGCTAACGAAACAGTATTACAACACGAACTCGTTCGGATTCGTTAATACTGTTCCACCGGCGTCTAATCCATCTACTCAACCGCAAATTCGTAGAAATATCAGCTGGTAACTTTAAAGCTAAGTTCGGCGAGGTCAATGTTTATCCTCTGAAATTGCAATCCTTATCGCATAAGACCGTTCTCGGTCGGAAATAAATAATAATACCTGAAAGAAACAATATTTAACAAACAGCAACAAATAGATTACTTCGACGCGTTCCGACGCTGTTAACCTTTTAGGTACGGCTGAATTCTGCGCGAAGCTATTTCTCTGGACGGCAGAGTCTGATGCGTACTGTACAGAGTCTGATATTGTCTGTATATACAGGGTGTCCCAAAAATGTCTCGCAATCCGAAAGTGGCGGGTTCCTCGGGCCATTTGAGGCAACTTTTTCCTTTACAAAAATTTTCTCCGAGGCACCGTTAACGAGTTATTAACGAAAAATAGTGACCAATGAGAGGCGAGCTCGGCTGGCGCGAGGCGATCGAGCCAATGAGCGGAACTGGGCTCCGCGCGCTGGTTGGCTGGGCCGCCTCGCGTCAGCCGTACTCGATTCTTATTGGTCGCTGTTTTTCGTTAATAACTCGTCAACGGTGCCTCGGAGAACATTTTTGTAACGGAAGAAGTTGCTTCGAATGATCCGAGGAACCCGCCATTTCCGGATTGCGAGACATTTTTGGGACACCCTGGTAGACTGTTGTAAATCGATGCGAAGACAAAAGAAGAGTGAAACAACGCATACGAAGACGATTATTTGATTCAAACGATGAGCGAGTGAGCTACTAGAG